GCATCATGCTCCGCGGACTAAGATTACCAGCGGAAGGCAAACTTCCAAGCGTGCTCGGTGTTTGCATGCGACGGTCCTCTCCTGCTCTCATCTGCGGCCCGTGGGGTCCTGCACTGAAGGGTCCCTCTTCAGCCCTTGCGCCAGATGGTCCAAAGCTTGGCTCGCCGCCATATCGGCCGCCAAAGCCCTGGTGTGGATCAAAGCGGGTGTTGAGTTGATCGAGTTCCGGCACGCCGGGCGGCAGAGTAAAGGCTCGTGTGGGTGGACCATGTGGCGCAGTTTCCGCATTGGGCGGGACGAAGTGGGACGGAGCATGCGCCAATGAAGGCGAAGGCTGAGGTTGATAAGGACGAGAAGCTGGGCCACCACCACCAATGAAGCGCTCATTGTCATTCGGCTGCCTAAAACCAGAACCTCGAGCCCAAATGTCCTGAGCACCTGCCATCGGCTCGGAAGGACCGAGGTTCGAAGATTGACGTTGTGGTCCTCCCGGTCGCTGAGCAGGTCCTTGTTGGGAAGGATGAGGTTGTTGTCCATGGGGCGGCAGGCCGCTCGAGTGGGAGTGCCTGTAGCTTTGCGGATCGCCGAACGCACTGCCAGTATGCCCGCCCTGTTGCTGCGCAGGAGGCGCCTGCGCACCTTGTACCGCACTGATACCAGACCAGCGATCGCTCGCATCTCCGAACCCGAAGCCAGGCCTTGGCGCTCCCTTCGAAGGCGAAGGCGAGCGCGCCGAATCATGCTCGAGCGAGTTGGGCGATTGCAGACGAGGATACGGCTGCAGTGGTCGAGGTGCTGTCAAATTGTGCGCGTAAAGCCCAGCATGACGTTGGGCGTCTGGTGGCGGTGAGGTGAGAAATCGCGCCTCCTGATTGTGCTGGTGTTGCTGCAGATTGGGAGGCGAGCGTTGATCTTGGTTGCGCGCCCACTGGTGATCGACCGGTGTACCTGTGCTCCCACTATGCTGACTTGGAGCCGGAAAGCCACCAGGAGTGCCGGAGCGAGAAGCAAAGGAGGGAGGTGGGAAGGAGCCGAAGGCATGCGGCGGTGGCGGCGGGCCCATGGAGTTTGGCTGCGGGCGATTGCTGCTGGGACCTGGTGTACCGGTGCCGCTGACAGGCGTGCCAACGCCCACGCGATTGGCGGACACTTCAGCGCCTGACATGTGCTGTGATAGTGTGACTGAGTGAGTGCAAAGTGTGATGGGCGCGTGAGACAGCTGCAAGCGGAAGCGCGTCTATAGCCTTGCCCCGAGTCACCGTTGGGCGATTGAAAGTACGCAGTGCAGTCGGTCGATTGCGATGCAGGTACAGCTCCGACCGCAGATGGGTGCCGATGATATTCAAAGCGACCTGCCTGCCTGCCTGCCTGCCTGCCTTGCTAGGTGATTGGCTCGTGACTGGGGAGATTGACGAACGACGATCACTCCGATGCAAGGCGATGATTTGTCTCGAGTGACGTTCTGCAAGGGAGGTGGTGGCGCCGACGCGCAGATCAATGATCAATAGCAGCTGCTGGATGAATGCTTGATGAGGAGCCGTGCGCGTGCGCGTCCGCGTCCGCGTCCGCGCGTGCGTGTGTGTGCTGCGTGCGTCCGCGCGCGCGCGAACGGATGTATTCAGGATAGAAAGTCGCTAAACTTTTCGCGGAGAAAATGGTGTGCAGATGGTGATCTCAGAGGCACGATGCTGCGGATTTAGGATGTCAGAGATCGATGCCGAGGGGGAAAGCTTACGAAGTCAAGGTTCAAAACGGAACGCCGCGGTGAAGAGAAACGTGTGGTATGGGATGATGGTGGTGAAAGAGGTGAAACGCAGCTTTCCTATCGTACGAAGGGGGGAGAGGAAGGAGGAGCGCGAGAAAACGCGGCGCGCGATGCGCGTGGCGCGTTTTTGGGGCAAATTGGCTGCTCGCTCTCGACAAGTGCATCCGCAAGGCGCCGTCGGGCTCCCGACCGGTAAAGTTGCGGCGTGGGCGGAGAGGAGCCGGTTTCAAAGTCTGGCACGCGCGTTAAATTGAAGAGCGGTGCTGGCATCACGCGGCAGCGCCCGCCCTTGCAAACCACATACGCTGCTGCTGCTGCTGCTGCTGCGCTGCTTGGGTTGATGTAGGCACGCGCGCGCGGCTGGGCGGCGGGCAAGACGGCAGCCCTGTGCAAGTTCTCCCACACGCGCACGTACAGTACGCGGCAAACAGCAACATGCAGGCGCCGCGTGCGTCTCACCGCGAACGCGCCTTCACCAGCAAAGGCGAGCTAGCGAAAGCAGGTGCGTTCACTTGTCCACTCCGCGTGCAGAATATCGCCGCTGTGCGTGAACAGAGTCTGCATGGGCACTCGCGACGGTATAATAGGCATGGCGCTCGAACGTTCGGTGGTACAAACGCCCACGGCGCACCATCGGCATCCGCTTGCGCGCGTGCATATGCAGCATGAAAGGCGACCACGCTAAGACGCGACGCGTTTGACGCGTGCCAGCATGGGCTCCAGAGCACTGTCGAGCTGGATCAATTTGCGCGTCGTGCCATTACAAGAATGCACATAAGCACGCGCATTTGACTTCGAAGACACCATTACAACCTCGACCCGCAGTCGCCTTTGTTCGAGGTCGTTCTGCGCGAACTTCGGCTGCATGAGAGGTCTGCAGCGGCGAGGGGCGGGCGCGGGAGAGTCGACCTGTTTCCCTCTGCGCGCGTGCAAGGCACGATGATGATGCATGGCCGAGGGTTTGCCAGCAACGCGGGCTGGGGCCAGGCAGCAGGCGGCAGGCAGACGGCAGACAGCCTGCCGTCGCGAATCACACACAGCACACGATGTCGTCCAGAGCTGCCCGGCAATCGCCATGCAGTCGTGGGAATTGTTTGACCGACATATGTGCCAGCGACCTGACCTGATGAGCCTCGACTGCTCGCTGTGCCGACGTGTTGAGCTCGCGAACCTCGAGCTGGAACTCAGGGGGGGCCAGCTAGAGTCTGTAGCGTATTGTGTCGATTTGGACCTAGATGGGCCTGAGCCACTTGAGAGAGGTGTCGCGTGATTCAGTGATTGGCCTTCGAGGTCGTCAAGATGCGAACAGATGCATCGGACGTGTAGTCACAATCATGACAGCTCTTTGACGAGTGAATGACGGGTCGACGATGGACATCAAAGGGGTTGTAAAGGCAGGTCAAGGCAGTGTGGTCGTCGTCGTGGAGCTAGCTTCCCCGCGTACTTTGCCCGTGCTGACGGCCTGCACTTGAGCCACCCCGAGTCACGAGTGCTGGGACTGATCGAGTAGGTAAGTGCGAGTTGGTGTGTGCGACCCAGAGGTATAGCGTAATGATCATTATTGTTGTTGTTCTAGCGGATGCAGATCGTTCCTGCCCATGGATCAGAATCTTGTTTGGCTAGTGACGTCTTCTCGTACGAAGCTCAACTCCGCTCGTGTCAAATCGTGAATTCACATCTCTCTTCTTGCTCGCAGGACTCCAAGTGCCGCACGAGCCTCGTGGCTCGGCACGTTCATTGGCTCACCGTCTGCAATTCGGTCTCGGTCATGCCAGCATCATCGCCTTGCTTCGTGCTCAGATCGCTATTTCCCCCCCGCTCCTCTCATCCACACGTCCACACATATACAAATCGAGGCTCGCTGACCTTCAAGCTCTGGTGCAAACGACAGACTCGTGCGATTGATCTGCGGGTCCCACAGCGAACGAGATCAATCAGAATAGAAGCATCGTCGCATGTATTCACATTCTCAACAGCAATGAGTGTTGCCTTATGCCAAGTTCTTCTTCTGCTGCTCTTCGTAGGCCTCTCTCAGCTTTGAATTCCACTGCGGTGTGTGACAGCAGAAGTGCCGATGGCGCTCAGCTTCTGTCTTTGGGCAGGCGATGGCCATAGAGATATGGAGTGAGGCACATTGCAATACTCACGAGCATCGAAGGTACCCATTTGGCTGGGACGTGGTGGTAAGACTGCGATGACGGAGCACGGGAAAGCGTTGATGAGTGCTGAATTGAAGGGCGTCGGGTGACCCGACTCTTCCTTTGATCCCAAAGAAAAAAGGTCGAGTGGATTCTAGGCGATCGCAACCGCTCTGGCAAGTGAGCATCTGCTCTGCCCCAGCTGCTTTCGCACAGAGCACAGGTCATTTTGTCGTGCCATGCCACAAACGGGCACCTTTCCAATCAGACATGCTTTCCATTCTCTTCATCTCAAATGCTAGTGCCAATAGCGCATGCGTGTCCCACTCCGCCCTGTGCTGTAGTGGCCCTACTCACTTCGTTCTCCACGCTATAGTTCCACAAGAAGTAAGAGAAGATTCCGATACCTGCAGCGCAGACCGCAGTGTTCGACCTCCAGTTTCGTGGCCTGTGCAGCAGCAGGGCAAATCAGTACCAACTGGCAGTGTAGGCTGGTCCAAGGAAGCAGGTCGCCCGGCATGCCCTTCGCAATGTGACTACTCACTGGCTCCACCAACCACCTGCGCTCAGAGATGAGAGATATGAGTGCATAGTCAGCCTCACCATGCTAAAGCGCGCGAATCTTTGCTCAGCATCCAAAGCTCACCGGACGGACTCCACACTTCTTTCGGGTAAGGGTAGCGCGCTCCACCTCCCTGCGAATGAGAACGTCAGATCAGTCATCGTGGGGAGCGTGGATCAGAAGGCAATGGGGCGGATGCAAGTCGACGTAGTACACCATGAGTATTGGCTTCATTCCACTGCATGCCATCCACGAGCTCGATGCTGTGCCGTCAAGCTCAGTCTGACCGCTGCCTCGCTTGGTGACCCAGCCCTGTTCTTTCGAGCTTCACGTGCCGCGCTACGCACCATCTTGCAAGCTGTTGTATGTATGCAGATTAGATCGAGTGAAGCTGATGAAACGAGAGGAGCTACTGCACTGACAACGTGTGCAGTCTGACTGTATAAGGCGTTGCTGGATGATGGAGGGTGCTTGGAAAGGTATCGACCGCTGACGTAGTCTGAGTCGTGAGCCCAAGTTGCTTGGTGGACGGGAGCGTTGGATTCAACGAGGGGGAGGACGATGAATCAGGAATCGCGCGCGGGTCTGATCGCCAGACACGTGACCTTTTCTTGCACGAGCACGTGAGGCAATTTCAAGACTACTCTTGACTCGTGACTCTACAGATACCGCCGCTCTACATCGCTGCAACGCGTCACGCCTGCTGCTCACGAGCACGCGCTGCGAAATTGACGCGTGAAGCCCTATGCAGGCTGCCGAGAGGATCAAGACCGCACGGATGGTTCGTTTGCTGCAAACCACACAGACAGAAGAGCATTCACATTCTAATCAGGTCCAGCTTTACTCACTCTTGTCTCTCTTCTGACTCCCAACTGGTGACTGATGCTCAGCTAGCGGTTCGTCATCACCACCATCACAAGTGAACGTTCGCGCACGATCGAGGAACTCACAAGCACATCGAGCAAGGCCACACACAGCCCAACCGAAGTACAAAGGGCATCGGACGCAGAGAGAGAGACCCTCGATTCCGGAACACGAGTCGCACGCATAGCGCATGGCGTCGGTCTGCCTCGTTTGGCCTCCAAACTTGACACCTACTCGATCACAGCGCCCGAGCCAAGATGTCGGTGCACGCGCAGTTCGAAAACATCTTCTACGGTCTGGACTCTACTGCTGGTAGGATGCGGATATCGGCTGGTGGCTTAGGCTGGAAAGGCACGCCTGCTGATGGGCAGCCTGCAAAGACGATTACCATAGAAGCCGACTTGATGAAGAGCTTCAACTGGACAAAGTGAGTGGCGGCAGTGCGTGGACGTGTAGAGCAATCAGCTCCTTTCGGTGATGTCAGCTCAAGCGCGATGAACTCTTCGCCTTCGCACGCCGGCAGAGTTGCACGAGGGTACCAGTTCAGAATCAACCTCAAACAGCCGCGCGCACCCAACACACCGCCCCGCGAGACGTTTGATGGATTCCAACGAGAAGACTACGATCACTTGGCAGAGAAAGTGACCGAATACTTTTCCAAGTCTTTGGATCAAGTAGAGATCTCTGCTCGAGGATGGAACTGGGGCAAAACAGAGGTGCAGGATACGGATGTGAGGTTCTTGGTCAGGGACAAGTTGGCTTTTGAAGTTCCCATCAATCACATCGCCAACAGCAACATTGCGGGAAAGACCGAAGTCAGCATGGAGTTCTTGAATCCGGATGAGCAGCAACCGGAAGCGAACACCGGTTCTTCGGCCAGCAATGGTCTCAAGAAACCCAAAAAGAGGGTGGGAGATCAGCTGGTAGAGATGAGACTGCACATTCCTGGCTTGGTGGAAAAGGATGAGGATGAGGAAGAGCTGAGCGAGGCGGAGGGCGAGGGTGACGGCGAGAAGAAAGGGGACGGTAAGAAGGATGACGAGGAGGAGGAAGAACACACCAAGGCGGCGGCTTTCCACGATGCCATCAAGGAGAAGGCGGATATCGGACAAGTGGCGGGAGATAGCATCATCATATTCAAGGATGTGCTCCTCCTCACCCCTCGTGGCCGCTTCGATATCGATATGTACCCGACATTCCTGCGCCTGAGGGGCAAGACGTACGACTACAAGGTCCTCTACTCCAGCGTCACGAGGCTATTCCTGCTGCCCAGGCCCGACGATGTGCATCTGCAATTTGTCGTGGGCTTGGATCCTGGTATCAGGCAAGGTCAAACACGCTACCCCTACCTCGTTTTGCAATTCATTCGCGATGAGGAAATGGACGCGGAGCTGAACCTGGAGGAGGAAGAGATAGAGAGCAAGTACGAAGGCAAGTTGAAGAAGCGCTACGAGGATCCTACTTTCAAGGTCGTCACGACCCTGTTCCGCGTCTTGACTGGACAGAAATTGATCGCGCCGGGTAACGACTCTTTCCAGAGCGCGCTAGCCAGCAGCGCCGCACCTTGCGTCAAGTGCAACGTGAAGGCTACAGATGGTCTGCTGTACCCGCTAGACAAGCAGCTGATTTGGGTTTCCAAGCAGCCCATCCAAATCAACTATTCCGACATTCATCAAGTCGTCTTTGCTCGGATTGGCGGTGCCGTAGCTAGCGCAAAGACTTTCGATCTCAAGGTGGTGCAGAGATCCGGTCCTGAACACACTTTTCAATCAATCACTAGGGAAGAACACGATGCTCTGAATGCACACTTTACGGCCAGGAAGATCAGGGTAAAGAGCGAGATGAACGATGCGGATGCTGCTGCGGCTGCGGCTGATGCGCTTTTGGACGACGATGATGATGATGATGACCTCGCAGATATCATCACGGACGATGAAGATGAGGAGGAAGGAGGCAGGAAAAAGAGCAGCGGTAGCGGCGGCAAGAAGAGCAAAAAGTCAAAAGGCGCAGACGCCATGGATGTGGATGAGGATGAAGAGGGTAAGTCCCGTGCTGGAGCACCTGGACAGTACGGCCTACGCGTCGACTTGGCACGTTGTCGCTCATCTTCTTTTGCTTTTGTTGCGCAGACGACGAAGACTTTGCAGCATCCAGCAGCGATGGCGGTAGTCCCTCGGAAGCATCCTCCGACGATGAAGGTGCAGAGTCGGGCAGCGACGACATGGCGGATTCGAGACCCAAGAAGAAGAAGAAGTCAAAGTGATGTACCCCAAGAGTAAAGTCACCTGTGTGCGATGATGCCGCATGCGAGAGATGCTCAGTGATACTGTCGGTAGTATGCCAAACGAGGCGATCGGCGTATGGCAGGCACACTGTGAGCCTTGTCGGCTCGCATGCAAATTCATGCATTTCATCGAGGATCTTTGGCGTCGTGCTATGCTTTGTTATTGCTGCGATGAAACGCAATTGTTGGTGAGCGCACGCGCTTGACCTTCGATTTCACCTTGAAGCATATTGATCGAAGATGGCCGAGAGTCATTCGAGATACGCAAAGGCTGCGTTGCGCCGGAAAGGTGATCTGGTGCAATCACACCTTGAGGTACGGCTCGCTAGCTGATTTAAGGGATGCCAGCTCATCTTTGCAGCCACAGCGATGATGAGTTGTACGGCTATATATCGTCTCTACTCATTGAGTCGCATGCAACCTATCGCCCGTGTCGCCCAGACCAGGTATGATGAGCCCCTTGTCGTTCAGCGTCTGGTCAATGGCTCCCACCCTACAGCGAGGCAGGAGAAAATTGGCCCGGATCAGAAGCGTCGCTCGGCGAAATACGGCCGGCACCCTGATCGAAGTGGCCACTCACCAAATGTTCAGGCCAGGACAAGCGGAGGCGAGGCTGTTCAGACCTTGTTCGGACCCAAGCACGCAGAGGAACCTGATTTTTGAAATGGGAATGCCCCAATCCGTGATCATTTTGACGCAGACCTGGGGGTCGGGTGTGGGACATGGGCCAGACATTAGCATGAGAAGCAATGCTCAAGGGGAACGACCCAGCCGAGCCGCGGGCAGTCTTGACACTCGCTATCGCTGTCCCACCCGTCGCTACAAGCGGATCCAAGATGAGCACTTCGTCCACATTTGGCGTTTCGGGAAGCTACAGAGGAGAGGCCAAATGAGAATGATCAGCGTTATTGCGTAGATGGCAGGAGCGCCAATTAGAAACAAAATGAATCACCTTGGAGTAATACTCGACTGGCTGCAAGCTAAGTTTCTCCCTGAAAAGACCAATGTGCTGGACTGATGTGTTTTCGGGCAACAGAGCCAGCGCAGCTGTCGCAAGGAGGAAGCGGATCCCGTGATTCAGCCACCGACGAAAATTTGATCGCTTTGCTTTACCTTTGCTCACCATCAACCATGCCCAGGCCGGCTCTTAGGATCGGAACCAAGCCGATGCGCCCCTGCCCATCGCAGCGTAGGTTAAGGAACGCAGACCGTCTGGTGAGCAATGCGCATACATGCACCTAGCTGAGCGATTTGGGGACTTTTGCGCAGCTGAGGTCCTATCTGATTTCTTGCAGCATCACGCAAGGTGCCGCAGACGAAGCCCTGCACCGGACACGATATGCCAAGGTGCATCGTTCCCCACGTCTCACTACATCTTGCGCCCCAACTCTCCCCTTATGCCCCGCACACACCTGTCCTCTCCCGCTTCGCTGCTTTGCGCAACTCACAGAAATCTCTTCCCCTTCGAACTTGGCCAAAGGTCCTTCGCCCTGAACTTGATGAACGCCCAAATCCTTCGTAGCTTCTACAACAAGCACCGTAGTGATGTTCCTGACCAACTCCCTAAACTGTTTGGGCGAAGTGGTGGCCAGTCTTAGATTGGCTAGATGGGTGGATAAGAGCGGATGCGCGACTTTGTGAATCTGCGAGTTGGACTTGGAACTGGACATGATGCCGGTCTTGCGGGGCTGTGGAGGTGAGATTGGACGTGATGTGCAAGCGGATGCTGTGGATGAAGGCCGGAGTAAAGCAGCTGGATGCTAGGTACCGGTATGCCGTTCAGCACACGCTACTCTCGTGCAAGAGTCGAGCGACAAGATGAGACGTGTTGCCTGCGTACTCCAGCCAAGGATTGCATCCAAATAAAGTCACAGCGGCAAGGCGAGCGAGCTTTGGAGTGCCTAGAGGCAGGGCGTAGCGACGAACAGCTTCGTCCAAACGTATGGTCGTGGGTCGGATAGATTGGCTTATCTTGATCTGTGAGAATGAAGCAGAACGGGTGTCTGGCTGCATGCACGGCTGCGCGCACGGGTGCTGCATCTGCTTGATGATCTGCAGGGGGGCCCGACGCGCGCGAAGTGCAGCACCGCCTCCATGATGCATCACCAGCAGCGAAAGCGCGTACAGTAGTCAACTTCCGCGGTGATACCGCGCCGCGCACAGCACACACGTGATCCTGCATGCGAAGCTCAATTCGTGATTGCGCACCGCACCCTTGATTCGTGATTGATGAAAATGCAAACATCTGAACTCTGGGTGACACTTGACTTGAGCTTCATCGAAGAAAAGCTACGTCATTCAGCACCAAAGCACCAACATCTCCCGACTCATACAGGCTCAGCGAGCTGCAAACATGTCTAGTAGCGCTTTGAGCGTCAATTAGATTACAAAAAGCGAGGAGACTTCTCACGCGCCGATTGTCCTCCTTACCCAAGCCTCCAATCCTCCCGCCGTCCATATATCCTGCACAGCCGTTCCCACACCCGCAGGCGTGGTGGTGTACCTCTTCTCGCTGCCATCCGGTAGCCTGAGCGTCAATCGTCCATTGCTGCTATCCACGCCGACCTGCGCTCCCTTCAAAAGCACGCTGATCTCCCCCTCTTCCTTGCCTCCATTTCCCCTCGCTCCATCCTTTGCATGCTCCCTCGTCAAATCCTCTACCAGCTCCGGACATTCCAAACACACCAATCCATTGTTGATCGCGTTCCTCTTGAAAATGTCGCCAAAAGAACCAGCAAGGACCAAGGGCACCCCGGCGTGCTTCAACGCAGTAGCCGCTTGTTCCCGCGAAGATCCCGTACCGAAATTGTACCCCGACACCAAAATCGTTCCCACTTTGCCCTGTCCTTCTTGCGCCTCTGAAGCGCCAGAGAGTCGCAGCTCGGCCACTCTGGCAGCGAATTTGGGGTCGTAGTTCTCCATCACCACCTCGGCCTGTCTTTCTGCAGTGATGTCATCTTGATAAGTATACTTGCCTGGGTAAATCCCATCCGTGTTCAAATTGTCTTGAGGTGCAAAGATGAGCGAGCCGGAAAAGGTGGGTGGGAAGCCGGGCAGCAGGTCCTGGGCGTCGGCCGGCGCGGCTTCGTCAGCATTGACGGAGGACGAAGCGTTCTGGGTGGACGCGGCGGTGCGTTGGCCCAACTCGATGGAATACTTGAGAGCGTCGGCGCTGGGCAAAAGCGCCGGGTCCAAATCCTCTGGCCCGCAAATGCGACCCTGGACAGCGCTGGCGGCCACGACAGCAGGGCTGGCCAGGTAAGCCTTTGCATTCGGACTTCCCATTCTGCCCTTGTAATTTCTATTGGTAGCAGAGATGCCCGTCTCTCCATCTTCGAGCAATCCTACACCCAAGCCGATGCAGGGACCGCAGCCCGCTGGCAGAGGCTTGGCCCCTGCTGCCAACAGATCTCCCCAATCGCCCGCTTCTTCTGCAGAGCGCTGGACTAGAGAAGAAGCTGCTGCAACGTAGAACTCTACTCCTGGAGCGACGCTTTTGCCGCGCAGAACCGAAGCTGCGGCCGCAATGTCCGAAGCACGAGAGTTGACGCAGCTAACGAGGTAGGCCTTTTGAATGGCAATGTCCTGCTTGGAGAGGGTACTCAGCGGCGTAGAGATTTTGACGCTGTTGGGGCCAGACACGTGGGGCGAGAGCGTGCTGAGATCCAGATGCAGCGTCTTTGCGTAGAAGGCGCCTTCGTCAGGTCTGAGCAGGTTCCTTGACAGCTCTTCCAGCCTCGCCTTGTTGAGGCGTGGATGATGGTGAGACTTCTTGGGTGATGATCCCACCTGAAAATCCATCTTGTCCAACGAAGCGATGTGCTTTTCGTACCAGTCCAGCGTGACCTGATCCACCGGAAAGACACCAGCTAGCGCGCCCCACTCTGTGGTCATGTTGCTGATGGCCAGACGCTCGTCGATGGACAGACCAGCCACACCATCGCCGACGAACTCTATGGCCGCATTGAGCACCTGATCCTGATTGAACACGCCGCACAAGGCGACGATCACATCCTTGCCAGTGACGCCAACAGGCAAGCTGCCCGTCAGGTGCACCTTGACCACCGAAGGGATCTGCCACCACGTCTGACCAGTCGCCCAAATGGCGGCGGCGTCGGTCCTGACCACCGGCGTGCCTACGCATCCCACACCTCCATACATGTTGGAATGACTATCGCTCGCCACTGCCAACGTTTGAGGAAAGGCGTAGCCTTCCTCCACCATAAATTGATGTCCGATGCCTCGGCCTGCTGGGTAAAAGTCGACGCCTTGTTCTCGCGCAAAAGATTCGATCTTGCTGTACTTTTGCAGATTGGCCGCCGATTTGTTCTGCACATCGTGATCCAGCGCAAAGACGACTTGGCCCACATCCTTGATCTTCGTCGCACCGATGGATCTGAATCTGTTGTGGAGCGCAAGGAGGAGGGGGGGGGGGAGGTTTGGATCTGTTAGCTCACACTTCGAGCAGCGAACGCAGCACGTCAGCCGATCTTGCGCTCACTTGTTGATGCAAGGGCCGGTATTGTCGTGCGTCATGACGTGCCTAGGTCTGATGGCGAGATAATCGCCCGCCACGACCTTTTGGCCATTCTTGAGCCCTACGGCATGAGTTTGAATGACCTTTTCGATGTACGTCTGCGGCTTGGACGTGGGATTTGAGAGCGAAGATGGGATGGACGTGGGCACTGCCAGGCTCCTGGAGGTGCTCGACGTGAAGCTCCTCTTTGCAGTTGCCGATCGCGCATCCAGACCAGGTGATGCTGAGGATCTGGCTGAGGATGACGCACTCTCTGTGGGTGCCGCACAACACCTCGGAGATCTTGCCGGCCTCGCGCCAATGGCACCTCGTCGCAACAGCGCGGCTGAGCGAGCGAGCGATGTCATCTTCGCAGACGCACTAGTTGCAATGTCGAAGCTATACTTGGCGCGTGAGGAGTCGGGGAATGATTTCAGGTTCGTAGTAGAGGGGGGGGGTGGGGGGCAACTAACTACCTGGATTTCCCCGATGGTGCGGATATATACGCTGCGATGGACCACTTGGTTGTTGCTGTTTGAACAACTGGCATGGGAGAGGGGAAGGCGATGTGAACAGAGTAGAAGCATGCATTTCACGTGAATCGCTGAACAAGGCTGTGACTCTCTTGTGACTCTTCTGCTGACCTGTAGCGTGACTGCCTGCCTTCCCAAGTGCTGCAGCTCGATCTTCTTTCTCTTTAATTGCAGCTCGAGCGAAGTGGCCAAACCCCGCCCATCTCCGCGGGCTTCGTAAAGCTGCGGCAGCCAATCCCGTGAGGGCACGCTGCTGCATGCTGCATGCTGCATGCTGCTCACGCGATTTCAAACCCTCAAAGCAATTTGAATGTGCATCGCCCGAGTAATGCCGGTCGACTGATTCGCGCAAGCATCACCGTGTCCATCCATCATGACAGTCAAGTGTGAGTCGTGACAGGTCTGACTATCGAACAGGATCATCACGGAACCGTAAGCTCTCATCGGACTTCGTTATGCTCCCATCCAATGGCGAGGGTCAAGGGCGCGAAAGCACAGACGACACAAGCTTGTTATATGAGTATAGAAGCGCTCAACGATTGCCTAGCTCCTGTGCGGATCAAGGTACTTTTCCAAACCCGAAAAGAAGCTCGGGCTTGGTGGTGCGTACTCCGGAGACTCGATACTCGAATGGGGATTTGAAAAGTCGTGCGAGCGTCGTGGTTGTTCAAATCCAGGAGGAACGTCGTGATTTCGCGCTCCTCTCGAGTCGTGCAGCGACGGGTGCAAATGCACGCCACCATGGTCCACGTCGTGTGAAAGTGGGGCCGCATTCGACGCTGGATGAAAACCAGGAGGAAAAGCGACACTCTCCTGTGGATGCCTTGAGGAAGAGGCAACGTGTTGGTCGATCGAGCCAATGCTGTGCTGAGGCGATGCGGAAGTGGCAGGTGTGCGATGCATCCAGAGGCCCGCTGGGAGGTGTTGCAAACGTGTCGGCCAAGCTTGGGCATTCGCAGAGTGCGATGGTTTGGCAGCGAGGATGTCAGGAGGCGTGACTTCTTTCGTGGGCCTGACACTAGCCTTCGGGCGAGGTGACGGCGTCTTTTTCCTCTTCAACTCGCGGATGAATGGGTCGTCGTCTACGGCATCCACGTGCTCCGGCACCTGATGCAGTGCGTGCTGAGGCTGGTCCTCAAAGTGCTGCACCGTCGCGGCACTGCCGGTTGGAGAGTGTTGCCCTGTGAACCTGTAAACTCTGTTTAGAGTGTCAGGCTCACGCTTGGTGCCCCTCCTCTTTTTTTGTCGCTCTGGCTTCACGATGCCTTCGCTAGCTTTCTTTTCCCAAAAAGCCCTCTCCACCTCTTCTATTGGTCGTGGATGCACCAATTGGCGGATTTCTGTCTGCTGATCCTGTAGGGCCTCAGTCTTGTCTCTACATCTACCCAGTGCATGCACATAGCTCCCACACAATGGCACAGCCTTGACTTTTCTTTGACGGCCGCCCGGAAGTCTGGGATTCGGCGCCTTGTGCCATCCGCCTTGCCCGTCCGGCCGATCAAGGTTCAGCCAGGCAGCAAGGGCGAGCTGCTTTTTTTGAGGTTCGGCCACCCTCAACTTCCTAATGGCCGCTTCCTGCTCATCGAAATACAGGCCAGTCCTATGTGTGAAAGCATGGTTTAGCTTGACGGTATGCGTCGCACTGCCATTCTCATCAAGAAAAGGCACGTAGTGAAAGCCCCTGGTGCCCGGGATGGGCTTGTCGAATGGAACTCGTTTCCAAGCCTCGCCCTGCAAGTGAGTCTCCGGTGTCTCCTCTGTGTTCCGGAAGCGGCGCGTGACCTATGCCGATGGACCAGCCATGTTACAAGGTGAGTCAGCGTGTCTCCCGGTTCAAAAGGCAGAATCGCCTCAACTTACGCGAAAATAATCAGGCTTCTCTTTGCCTGCGAAATGCTCAAGCACGCTCCTGATCGCAGCGTGTTGACTGTTGGGCGACTCCAAGCCATTGAGACTTATATTGATGCGCTTCTGCAACACATGCATCTCTCCGAAAAGCGACGCTCTTCGCCCGTTCACGGATGGCAGACTATTTTGTCCAGGGGACCTAGCGTATCTCGTACTACTCTGTCCGCCTCGGGTCATGAACAGCTGCACTGATGCCGAGGCAGACGGTAGCGCACCAAATGCTACGCCAAGAAGTATGGCTGCCATTTGACAATGTCGCATCTTGAAACTTCGCTGGCGTTTGTAGTCCACTCGTTAAGAAATCTGTAGTGAAGGTGGTCGTGTGCGAAGCACACCAATAAGCAAAGGGCCACGCTTTGGTACCTGTTCTTTGCTCCGTCTCCTCAACAAACGCTGCCGGCAACAGAAAACGTGTGGCGGATGCAGGAAGTTGCGAGACTGATTGGCGAGCGAAGAAGAATGCTTCAGTGTCGATTCATCAGTGCAATCGCCACCCCACAAGCATTTCTCTCCTATCGTACCGATATACTTGCGAATGAGTGTGGCCAATCGTGAAATGTGAATCAGACCTCGATCATCTCCGTGGAAGTGTTGACGTTTTACGGAATTTAAGTTCAACCAACACTTGAACCGTCGATTGCTCCTCACGGCGTCTCACCTTACCTCACCTCCCCTTGTTTGGGGCGGTCGCCAAGCAACGCCAACACCAAGGCGCGACCTTCGCTTCGAAATTTGGGCGTTCAGACCCGTTGTGTTTCCTACTGTGCCACCAGCGCACGCGCTCGCATCGATGAGCCCCCTTTCCTCGAACGCAGGGAGCTCCACCACTGCGTACTGAAAGGCGTTGACCTGCGTATTGACAGTCCGTCTGACCAGTAACATTGACTGAAGGTACATATAATATTTTGGTTGTGTCTGGACTGAAAGTCTCAAGAGGCAGGCGGTCTGACCTTGCGCATTCTTCGCAAACGACCGAACGTGAAACGCGCAGAAAGATTGGGTGGCGTCCATTAGGTTTGGCGATGACGATTTAGTCGGTAGCTGCGCCCTGATCGCAGGAAAATAGGCGCGCCAGATGTGAGAGGTGTGCTTCACGAGTTCCTTTCGCCACATGTGTGCTGCTACTCACATTCAGTATCGCTCCACCATCTACTCTGAGGCGTGCCCCATTTGCAAAGAGCGAGTTGCGGCTGCTTAGATACAGGACGCTCGCAGCGTGTCTGGAGATCAGTGGCAAAGGAAGCTGTGTGAGCTCGATTCAACCGTCGGAGATAAGTCGATGACTTCGAATCGTCTTGACACTGACTCGTGCGGGAAACCAGCTCGGCCAGCTGGAATATCTGCCCCATTCGTGCCTTTAAGCACGCCATGTCCAGTGCCTGGATCTGTCAATGACGCCCCGGTCATATCTGTGGGATAAAGGCCAGGCTCCAACGTGTTGACGCGAATGGATGAGTCGGTTAGGATACATGAGAGCATGGTGCTCCAGTGCGAAGCGGCAGCTTTGGACACGTTGCTTGAGAAGCGGGAGCGCAACCGGTCAGCTCGTGTTCGTGATCGCGAAAAGCACGCGAAATTTGTACGAAGCTCACTAGAGTGCGTTGACGATACTGCAAGGATGTCGGACAGATCAGCAGGCAAGTATGAAACGTAAGTGAGGCTTTTATGTACTCACGGTAGCCTTGCCAAAAGAGCCGTTCCAAAAGGGGGGGAAGGAGCAGAAATGAGCTTCGGCAGCAGTCTAGACGCACGAACACGGTCGAGGAGAAACGGACATCACTCACTTGATTGAGGCGGCATTGGAGCTGACAACGATGACCTGACTTGTGTAAGCTGGCCATTCCGAACCCTCCTTCTTTGCTTGAGCTTTGTGCCACTCGCTGCCTTTCCTCAGGGTTTGGAGGAAGGCTATGGAGCTGAGGTAGGGACCCATGACGTTGACGTGGAAGATGTGGTCGAAGTCATCCTGCGAGAAAGAGTCTAACTCCGATACGATTGCTTCAAAGTTCGTCGTGTCGTATCCACCTTTGCCATAGTTCTTCTGCGTCAGTGCAAAAACAGCAAGCGCGTATAAGCTGCAGAGACAACAGAGGATGGCATCAAGTCTGATCACCGCACCATCATCTTCCCGGAAACACCTGCGAGTGAGCGCATAGAACGTTGACAGCAGCTCATCAGCAGCTGTTCCTGCTCTCGAAACCCCTTGCAAACGAGGCGCACCTGCGTTGCAAAGCAAGACATCGATGCCTCGCTCTCCCTGATGGCTCTCTATGACATCGACTGCGTTCTTCAGTGACTCCTTCGAAGTGACGTCCGCTAGATCAAAAGAAGGCATAGAAAGGTGTCAACATCTCTGCACTGCAAAGAACGCTTCTGACACGCCGCCAAGGTTCAGCTCACCTTGTACGGGTATCAGGGTGCCCTTTATCGATGCGCAGAGGGCAGATGGGGTGATCAGCGCATACACAGAGCAGTGCGTCCGTAAGTTGGCGACCGGGCTCACCTGGACCGAATTCACGCCATCCAGAGAACTGGCCGCATGTTTCAAAACGTCGTCTCTGCGACCCAGGATGTAAACCTTTGCGCCGCTGTTAAAAGGCGCGCCGTGCGGACCCTCAGTAGGAGGACGAGGGCTGAACTTTGGGACTGTTCGGATCGAGCGACTCACTTCAAGGCAAGAGCTTGCGCCGCATACAGTCCGAGACCAGCGCTGAGCGAAGGATTGTATGGAGCAGCGGATGTCAGCTTGGTGTCTTGCCAGATCATTCTGGAAATTCGCAGCATTGCTGAGAGCATGTCTTCCTAAAGCGCTCACTGACTTTCCGCCTGTCACTACAGCCACGAGTCCTTCAACGTCGGATCTTCCCGTGAGTCCGCGGAAGTGATCCAAAGAAGTGACGGGCAGACTTGAAGTCATGATGTACCTGAAAGGGTGCCGTACCGTGTGCGCGGGGTGGGGGATGGTACGGAGTAGCGCGCTTTTGGACTGTGCTTGCGAATGTTTCTTGCTGATCAGTAGCTAAGGGAATGGAAGTAGAAAGTCGTCATTGGCTCGACGGAGGCCTCGATTTAAGCTGCGAGCGTGAGTTCTCGACCGAGGAATATGTGCTGGTGGATGAATGGATGCAACCATGCACGCATGCGTGGATGGATGTGGAGGTGGATGTGAACGCGCTCTCCTCACCAGCAGACTAGACCCACTTCATGTTGCAGAGCACCCACGTGCTGCCCGCCCGCCGTTCACGTCACAAACATCGAGGGTGTTCGTCGTGCGCTCGTGCCGCCGCTTCTCGAACCGTCACCGTTACAGCAACGGTTGATGCTTGCTTGCAGACACATTCACACCAGGTTTGCGTGAGCACTTATCTCTTGAAGAGTCACAACGCCTTGCTGTGCGTCCAGTCTGGGTCACGAAGGGCCGCGAGCAGCCTGGCGCAAGGATATGACGAGCGCGATGCGGCATCGACACTCTCGACTCTCCGACAAAGAATTGTGAAACGAAATGCAAATGGTCGACATCGCTTGCCTGTTTTGCGTCAACATTAACCGTGACATCAGGAAGCCTGCCGCAAGGAGGAGCTGATTTCGATAGTCTGCGTGATGCATTGCGCATCACCGAGTGCGAGCATACACACCGCTACGATAGGATCTCGGCGGCGCGGAGCGCGACTACGCCACTCACTAGAGGCCACACACAGGCACTTTGATGACGCTTTCCATCATATGAATGGAGTCACGCTCAGCACGCCTTTTCCCCAGTCACCGCCACCTCGTTCGGCGTCTTATGATGGCTACCGTCAAGGACTCAGTCCACAGCCACGAGGCCACTCGTCAGCCGACAAGAAGCCTTCTCCCTTCTTTTTCGGTACTCGAAGAAGACACGCCTCTCATCTTTCGGCAGCGTCGCACTTGTTCCGTAACCCCAAGCCGGTCAGTCACGGTCTTGTGGGGCTCGCGTCTTTGCAAGACCTGCTGGGATCGCATTCGGTGTGGGCTTCAACGGTGGCGACGATGTGCGTTGGCGCCGCATTCATCCGAGGACATGAGAGGCGGCAGGCTGTCGATATCAAGCGCTGTGGTTCGCATCGAGCGGGTGGCGTGTCAACGCCTCTTGAGAGCGCCCAGCACGGGTCTTTCAATCTTGGGCAGCATCAACATTACTAAGCAGGCTTCCTCGAGCACCACCACCCCACTCGCGTCTGCTGGCAGTTCTTGCCTTCTTCAGTTCGCATTGCTTCGTGTATTTCTCTTCGATCCCCGCAGTAACAGCGTCATGCCCTGTTCAAGCACCTTCTTCCTGGTCACAGCAGCAGCTTTCGCTCTGCTGATTGTCGGGAGCTGTCATACAGCGAGAGCTCGCCGTCTGATGACGGGGCTGTCAAGTCGCCAGCAAGCTGCCACACCATTACAGGTCAAGAATCAGCCTCCTACCTTTGCACCCCTTATCAGACTTCGGCGTAGGTCGCCGCCGCTTCCAGGAGGAATTGGTGGTGTAGCTGATGCTGTGCAAGGCATCGATCATGCGATCTCCACTCATCGCGTCGAGCTACAACCACCCGAGCAACGAGCATTGGGATCAGGGAGCTCCTCAAAGACGGTCTCCCATACTGCCGAATTGAGCGCACCCGAAAAGACGAAAGCCAAGCGAGGAAGAAAGTCTCTTGACACGCCAGCACCTGCTACCGTTGCGAAGAAGGCCAAATCCGTGCTAACAGAGGACTTCGGAAAGCACACGAAGCAGGTGGAAGCCATGTTGGCTTTAGCAATCCCTCCGTTACGCCGACCGAGTGCAGAGGTGGTAGCTGAAGGCGCCAAGCAACCTCATCCATCTGTGCTCTCTACAATCCCGGGCAGGAAGAACATGTTTGGCAACTACATGGAGGGCATGTGGCGCAAAGAGGCGCGGGAAGGTCCACCAATACCCGAACACAAACTACTGCCGGCGTCTGACCTTCTAACATCGCCCCCGCGTCCGATACACAGCATAGAGCTCAAATTGCCTATGGAGAGAACCAAGGACAAGCCTCCTGTACACATACCACCCCAGGAAAGTGTCCAGGCGGCGGTCGATCATTATGCCGCTCGCTTTCATCCTACTATGAAGAGGTTTTCTGTACGTTGCGTCTCGGACACCTAAGCGCTCAGGATCTCAATGTGCCCTCCTGACTGTTCAACATTTCCTGTCCCAACTCAGGTTTTGCGCGCCTTTGGCCGTAGTGACCATGAACCGATCTTGCACATGACTGGGACTGCTCAAGACGATGCGGGTCGAAAGATCCCCGGTGGCGGATTGACTAGCCTCGGCAAATGGTATGCGCATCACAAAATCTATATGATGCCAGGCACGACGCACTCTAGGGGTCACTTCGGCCTGCTGAATGCCGAAACGCCACCGCCGGGTACGAAGATCATGACTTCGATCGGCGATGATAACAGTTTCTGGAGGTCCTCGCGCAAAATCAACGGTATGCCTTGGAAACACAATACGTTGTTCGGTTTGAAAAGAGCGGACATCATCGATCCGCAGAAGGTGGCCGAACGCAGGCAAGCCTATGCGGCTATTAGACGGACGGAGCAGCATAAGAAGGAGAGAAATGCTAAGCGTAGAGCGCGTGTTGCGGAACGGAATGGCATGTACGGGGAACAAGGCGGGAGGACAAGTTCGTATGGTTCCGCAAGCCACTCCAAGTCCTCTCTCTCCAGCTCAAATCCGCTTCAGTCGGCAGACAAGGAGAAAAAAGGCGTCAGCCACTCGGCGATCTCAAATCCGACGTCTGTCGAGGATGGAACAGCAGCAGAGGTAGAACACGGCAGCCACTCAAGCACCCAAGCAGCTCGGACCAGCGCGCGAGGAGTGGGTCATGCTTGGTCAGCTTTGGCACCGGATTCACCATCCGTCTCTAACAAATCAACCGCAGAGGCAAGTCATGGTCAGCTGTCGACTCCTGAAGAGCCTCGGACCAGTCAAGGCAAATCATCAAGTCACGACTCCTCCAGGACAACACAGGCGCTCGCGGGCAGTGCCGGTGACGCCGCAACATCATCGCAGCACAGGCGACCATTCAGCCCTGCAAATTCGCAAGCCAATCAGAGGCACATCTCAATACCACCTTCGCCGTCAAATGCAGACGATGATGTATTTGCTTCGCTAAGTCCCATCGAGCACCTCGATCATTCCTAAGCAGAGCGTTCGTTCGGCTGCTTTACAGACCGACGCTGCGCCTTGCGACTACAGCTGAGGCAACGAGGTGCTTTTGGATCTACTTATCTGCTGAGAAGATACGTCGCGGACCAGAAACAGCTCTACAATCGTTGTTCTGGCCGTCGCTCTTGCCGTGCGTGCCGCGCAAAGAGGCCAGGCCTGCACATCTCCGAAACGCGCAGTCGCAAATTTGTGAGCTATGGTGGCGTCATGACATAAATGATGGCATTGAGGCCAAGACGAGCGCCCTTCGCGAGCGGAGCGGAGCGGGGCTTGGTTTGGGCGAGCCAGTGTGCTGTTGTGCCATTGTGCTGTTTGATTATCGGGTGTTCAAAAGCGCCTTCCCCCTCGAGGACGACCTCCTCCAGTCCTGTTGGCACGGTTTGCCCAGCCTGGTTGACCAGCGGGAGCTCGTCCATACGCGTCGCCGCCACCATTGCCGGGTGGCGGCAGGGCGACGCTGGCTTCTCGCAGACAATTGATCACTTCATCGACGGGGAGCAGAGGTGGCCCGAAGAATCGTGCTCCGGGTAATATACTGCCGGGTATAAACGACGTGAAGATTGTGAGATCAAAACAGTTCATTGAGTGATCAGGGCTGGATGCCAGCCTTGCACTTACTCCATGAAGAAAAGAATGGGCTCCGAAAAGGGCGGAGCTTGTGGTGCTGGTACAGCGGCTGCAGGCGGTGGTCCGCGGCCACCCAGATGGCCTTGGGGCCCTCCTTGAGGGGGTAATGGCGCGCCTCGGTTGCCATACGCCATGGGCTGCTGCTGCTGCACAGGAACCAAGTCTCCAGACCGCGTGGGAATGGGCGCTCTCGGCGTCGGGCTTACGCTTCTCCTTCGTCCACCAGGGGCATCATCCTCGAAGCGTGCGCGCTTCTGGCCTGCGGCCCTCTCAACTTGACCGTTGCTAGCGATCGCACCAGGCGCGTCTTCGTTGAACTCTCGCTTCGCCCCCGTAACGGCGCGGGCAGATTCTGCAGCGGCATTGGCTGCTGCCATACCCGCACCCACGCTAGAGCCATCATCAAACGCCATTCGCGATGCAGCTACTGCTCGATCCGCTGCATTTGCACCGTCCAAGCTCGCCTCAAAGCCCAGATCTTTCGAACTGATCACGTCCAAGTCCATGTACGTGTTGCGATCGACGAAACGCTTGATAGCGGGCTCTGCGAGGGACTCAAGGTCAGGCGTAGTCCCACAGAAGCACGAGAATAATGGGCTGACTTACCGTCTGGGTAGACTTCTCGAAGACGTTGCTCTAGTCTTTGAATAGCCGCACGGTCGCCAAAGCTGTATTCGTAGTCGCACCAGCGATCCCACAGAGGTCTAGCGCGATTCGGCTCGAAAGAATTGACAGTCCTCTCGAACAGAGCGCGAGCGTCTGTTGAAGTACATAAAGAAATTCTGAGCACGGTCTCCGTCTTTTGCGTGTCTCGGCCTGTTTTCAGCCAATGACTTACTATTGTCATCGTTGATGCTGATAAGGAAGTCGAGGTATCGGACGACGAAAGCTTCATCACTTCCAAACGTTTTGAGTGCAACTTCAAAGACTCGCGTCGCTACCCCCACGTCCTTTGAGCAGTGATACTCCATCAACGCATTCGCCTCGTAGACCTGCCACGTGCAGTGCGGGCTCTTGCGTGCCTTGCCAAAGATAGCTCTGCAGGGACGCACTCCCTGATTGAGATAGGAAAGCAGAGTCAAACTGTGCGCGAAGATTGACGGGCAGTGATTGCTGGCAGGACTACGGGGCAGTGATTGCTGGCAGGACTCACCCCATTCCGACGGACAAGGTGCATCTGCTTGATCCAAACCAGAGCTGCCGACTCTTTAAGTTCTTCAAGCACAGGCTTGGCATTCTCATCCTCAACCTTCTTCCTCTGTGTCCGAACCTCCTCGGCTTTTCTGATTCCTTCACGTTCGTCGCCGCCGACGTTCTCATCAGCTTCACCAGAATCTTTGCGCTTTGCTGCAGCTTCCGCAGCTGCGGCAACGCCTTCTTCGTCAATCTTCTCGTGCTTTGACTTTACAAACTCCTGCACAGCTTCGATCTGGCCATGCACGTGCTCCAAAAGCTCAGCAAAGACCGATGCACAGGCCGACGTCTCGTTTGTCGCCTCGCAGAGCTCGATGTAGGCAAAGCGCAGCAAGAAGCTGCAGAGCAGTGCAGAGTGAGCCAGCTGGGGAGCAATGCAAAGCCCCTATAAGCAGCTTACCTTCCGGGACACGCGCCCATCCCAATTCTTAACCAAGACTTGGCGTCATCCTGACGCTCAGCACCTTCCAGGTACTGCGCGGCCATGTACCTGCAATCGGCGGGTTGCAGCCAAGAGAGGTCAACTTGCTTGCTTGCAAGGGTGGCAGGAACCAAAGACTCTCACCAAATTTCAGCAAAGAACCGCATGTGCATAGTCGCTTTCCTGTACGCCATGATTATCCGCGTGTGGAGCGTAGTCAAATCCTCGAGCTCTAGAGGGTTGCTCTCTTCCCACTTGAGATACCTCTTCCAGCTCTCTGCTTGTCCCCTCTCGCGCTGAGCAGCTCGCGAACGAATCGCAATAGCACCGGCATCGCTGCCTTGTTGAAGTCGTTGCAGAGCGGATTGAGCCCACGTTGGAACGCGGGGCAAGATTGGGCGATGCAGAATTTCTGTCAAAGATCGCATCTCCTTTAATGCGCTTCGAGCAGTCATGTAAGCAGGCGAGCGTTCCGCAAGAAATTTCTTGGCCTGCGTAGATGCAGAGCAGTGGGCGCCAAACGGAAGGGACATACCGCCAAGACGTTGCGTACGTCAATACGCGCCAGACAATTGCACGAGATGAGCAGCGCCAGCCCAGTCCATCAACGAACGCCACAGCAAGCAGCACGTCAAATTGGCAGAAAATGTCCATTGACAGATCGGGGCAAGCAGCAGCGTGCCGCGCCAAGACCAAGAGCACAAGATGCGTGGCAGCCGTTGAGAATAGCAACGACGGTCAAGGCAGATAGCCATTGCAAGTCGCCGAGAAAGAAGGATCGTATGCGTACGCTGGTAAGCTCGTGGCGCCCGCAAGAGGCTCAGACGCCGCAACAATGGAGTTTACGCACCGTTATCCTGTTCAAACCCGTCTCATATTGATCATACTCCCTCCAAACAGCCTCGACATTCGACAAGGGAATGGCTACGGCTTGCTGGTACGCGCGGCGAATGTCGTCCATCTTTTGACCAGCCTGCCACTGGTTGTTTGGCGCCACCTCTCGGTCTTTCAACAGCTGAATGTACTCGCGCCAAACTTCTCCGGCGTCTCGAGAATGGCCGATGAATTTAAGCGCAAATTCGTATGCGCCTTCGATCGTCCTTCGTGCTTTCTCGCGCTCCTCGGTAGGAACTGAAGATGGTGGCAAAGGATTTACACGCCGCGTGTATGAGAGGTAGGAGGACCACAAGTCCACGGAAGGCGTAGTCCGCAAGCATCTCGTGAAGATTGACTCCACCAAGGGAAAAGTGGTGTGAGATAGCGAGAGCTCGAGCTGCGCGTAGTTCTGCCATTGACGAGACTGCCAAGGTTGTGCCGGGGATAACGAAGCCATAAGTCGACCGCAACGTGAACCACCAGGAAGCATGCACCAACAATGGCGATCAAGCACACTCACTGCGTTGGGAAATACCTTGAAGAAATCCTCGTATCGGGCTCTTGCAGCATCAATGTCCCCAGCCTCAATCGCATTCTCGATGAGCAGCAGCCAAGCATCACCATCACGGGGCTCTCGAGTCACTCGCAGAGTCAATTCATTTCGCCGTTCTTCTGGACCTTTTGCAGCGGCAGGAGCTGCAGGCGCAGAAGCGGGAGCCGAAGCGGGAGCTGGAGCGGGGGCTGCTTTAGCTGTATCTGGCGTTGGCGCAAATGTGCTCTCTGCTGGAGCTGCCGTCGCCTCTTGCTTGACTGCAGCCGATTGCCCGTCGTCTCGGGTCACGGGGCTGACTCCGCTCAGTGCGGCCATGGCAGCACGCATCGCATCTGACATTGCTGTGGAGCCCTCAGAGGTGCCGTTGCTGAGCATCTCTATCGCTTGTTGGCTCGAAAGACCGTCGGGCTGGCCAGACTGACTGGAGCTAGCATCATCAGCTTTCGGCTGAGTGTTGCCGGTCGAGGTCTGTGGGCCTTCAGGTGGGACGTCATCGCTATCGTCATCTTCCATTCCAACGTCGCTATCGTCGTCTGCAGAAGTCTCTTCAGTCTTTGTGGCTGGCGTAGAGCTGGGCTGAGCAGGCGCTGTTTGCGACGAGCCCTCATCCTTCAATCCAGGCGCAGACTCTGCCCCATTTGCGGTGATTCCATCGTCTAATTCCCCTTCAGCGTCCTCATCCGCCTCGCCATCCGCATCCGCATCTTCGATTTTTGTCGGATGTGCTTCAGCCGTTATCAAACGCTCTTTGGTTTCGCCCAGAGCGATGGCATCCACACCGGCATCTGTTGGAAGCTCAGCCTGCACACCATCTGTGTTCTCTGCTGCACCACTCATGGTGCCGGTTGAGGCTGCCTTACCTGCAGTGGGCGTCCAAATTTGCGAAAGTAGCCCGCCCACTACAATGATGACTAAACTTGATGTTGACTCTCAAGCCTGAAGGAGAATGCGAAGGCAATCACAGGAACTTGGGCGGCGGCTAGTTAGGCTAATTCGCCTGCTAGTGTACAGGCACACAAAGAGCTTGCAGGACGATCGCTGATTATTTCGAGATGTCAAAACGAGTGCTGAGCGAAGTGACTAATGGAGGAATGATTGCGCGCAGGCAGAGAGCACAGCGCATTAGGGTGTTCTTGACGACAGAGGTGATGGAGTCAAGATGGTCGGTCTGCCTTGCTCTGCGCGAAAGAGCTACGCGCCCGCGCCCACATCGTCCTGATCGCGCCCTTGCCCGAATCCAGAGGAAACAACCACGTGGCAGGTAGCAATTGCAGCCGCGCGAGGACGAGTGCTGTTGACGCGCTTCGAGCCAGACGCGTAGATTGATGCAGCAGCTTGATGTTGCGCGGCGGTGGTTGTGATTAGTGTTGGATGCTCATCTTTCGCGTCACTACCGCGCTTGTATGCAAAGGCCTCCTCTCGTTAGCCTAAGGCTTTTCTCTCCCACCCCTCATTTCGAGACCGCCCAAGCCTGCAGCATCCATAACTGAAATTCGATAGCTCCAGGCCGCTATTAGCGCCCCTAACAGCTGCTCGAACAGCTTGTGAGCGGCACAATCGATCCCATTTCCGCTCGAAGACGGAGGACTTGTGGTGCTAAGCATCTCATTCAAGTGATCACGCTGAGGACTAGGATAATGTCGCGAACGCGCAAGCGGATCGAGGATGATGAGGAGGAGGCTATCGACGACTCAGGCGATACTTCGAGCTCAAAGGTGCGTGCTGCACCATCTCCGGGCGTATTCACGGCAGCTTCCTCTGACTCGTCACAACAGAACAAGAGGAAGCGCCGAGAACCGCTGTCCTCCATAGGAAATGGACACTTGGAATCTGCTTCACCTGATGAGGCCGCTATCAAGTCTGATGAAGACGATGAAGAGCATGATCAGTTGGAGCCCGCTGCGCCAGCACCATCTTCCGGCAAGCCCAAAGCCAAAGGCCGAGAGCAGACGGAGGAAGCGTCACATAGCGATGTAGCATCAAATGCCAACCGCAGCGCATCTTTCGACGAGGAAGAGGAGGAAGGATTTGAGGAAGGGGGCGACGATGATGAAGAAGACGATGACGAGGGCAGCGAGGATGATGTGCACCTTCGTTCAGCTCAAAACCAGCAGGCATCTCATGGCAAGGTGCGTGTATGCTCTGCACACTTAGCCGAATTCAGCTCGCAGTGCTAAATAGCTCCTCTCAAACCCATCGGTGGAACCTGCGAAGAATGTGGCTGAGATGGGCGTCATCGAGAAGGTAGAGCTCACAAATTTCATGTGCCACAATCGCCTCACTGTGTCGCTGGGCCCACAGACCAACTTCATCATTGGTCATAACGGAAGTGAGTGGAAGATGCTCACGCGGCACACGTCCACAGCCCTTACCAACCAAGCAAAATTCCTGTCGCTCATAGGCGGCAAGAGCGCCATCTTGACGGGCATCACCATCGCGCTTGGAGGCAACGCATCCTCGACTGATAGGGGCAAGAGCCTCAAGAGCTTCGTCAAGGAGGGCAAGACTGGCGCCATCGTGGAGTTGACGCTGAAAAACACAGGGAGCGAAGCCTTCAAGCCGGAGGAGTACGGCAGATCAATCATCATTGAGCGTCGCATCAACGCTGATGGAGGTGGCGGCTGGAAGATCAAAAGCGCAAAAGGTCGTGTCGTCAGCACCAAGCGCGACGAGCTCAATGCCCTATGCGACCACGCCAATATTCAAGTGGACAATCCTCTCAATGTGCTCAGTCAGGACCAGGCTAGACAGTTCCTCTCAGACTCCCGCACCTCGGAAAAATACCACGTGAGTTGATGACCAAGTGAGGTGGAGGAGCGTCTCGCATGTCCAACTGACCTGCTTTCATTCAACGAGCTGCCCAGTTCTTTCTTCGAGGAACCCAGCTCACGCAGCTAGCTCACGAGTACTCTGTCATTCAGTCTAATATCGAGAAGATCGCTGTCGTGGTCAAGCAGAAAGAGGAAGTAGTACCCGACCTTGAGAATGCCGCTGCTGAAGCGATCGCCCGCTATGAGGCTGTGAAGAAGCAGCGCGAGCAGCACGCACGTTTATCAGAGATCAAAGACTTGATTGTCTGGGCGAAAGTGGCGGAGAAGGAGAGGGTGAGCGAGATTCGGTCCCAACCTACGCAGCGCGCCATGTTGTGATCGCTAATGGCGTCGCGACATGTAAACGCACAGCGCCTCGAGCAAGCTGTGCATGCTTTGATAGACGGCGAGAAGAGGCTGGGCAAGCAAGAAGCTAAGTTGCAAGAGGCACAGGTGAGTGGTCAAGCAGCAGATGGTCCTGCCCCTAAGGCGCGATGCTAAGACCGCTTCCATCTTCAGAATGCCCTCGAGCAAGCGAACAATGAGATCAATGAGTTGGAGGCCCTTTTGAACGAGGACAAGGACCGGGAAGCTCCTCTCGTTGAGCAAGTGAAGCGGTTGCGCGAGCAAATGAAATCACATAGGGCGGATATGAAGGGCGTTAAAGTGAGCCTCTTGGACGCTGCAGATTGCCTGGCGGTCGCTCAGACGAACACTCTCCACCTTCAAACAGGCTCTAGAGCAGCAGCTGAATGACCAATTCAGCAGGCAGACGGCTGTGATTGAAGATCTGCAGGTTCGCATTGAGCGCGAGGCTCAACGCATGTCTGATGGCAATCGTGCTAAGCGAAAAGAGCTCGCACACACCTTGCAAGAAGCCGAGGATGGTCGAAAGGAAACGGAAAGGCGACAGGTCGAGCTGAACGACGAGCTGCGCCAATTGCAACAGACTATTGGAGCTGCAGCGCAGCGGGAAACAGAGGCGAAGGGCCGCCAGGACACCCTGCGACGGCAAGTAGATGAGGCTGCCTATTTGTGCCAAAGGCTTGGACAGGCCCGTGGCAACCGCATGGTAGCATACGGCGCCAATGTCCCGGCATTGGTACGCGCCATTGAGGCCGAGAAAAGATGGCGTGTCAGACCCGTCGGTCCAATCGGACTGCACCTCAAGCTCAAAGACATGTCCTGGGCTCCCGTACTTGAAAGCGTCATCGGCAATACACTGAATGCCTTCTGTGTCACCAACCACGCCGATCGTCAACTCTTGGAGCAAATCAAGCAGCGAACAGGCAAGTGAGTCAAGTAGCGCGTGTGACCTCCCGCTTACGAATTGCTGACATCATTCAAATACAGCGCAACCATTCCGACCCTGACCATGAGGGACACTGCGATTGACTTCTCGTCGGGAGAGTCAGACCCAGACGTCCGCACAATTCTGCGCGTGCTCGATGTGAGTATTGATCACGTCCGCTGACAGCAGGCACGCTCAACGTAGCTCCTTTTTTGACCCACAGATCGACAATGACTTTGTCTTGCATCAGCTTGTAAACGCTGTCCACATCGAGAGGAGCGCTCTGGTAGAGCGCCGTGTTGATGGTGATGCTTTGATGCGAAGCGGCAAACGAAACGTGCACGTGTGCTTCTCGAAAGACATGTTCCGAATTTCAGGCGGTCAGAAAGGGTCGTCCACACAGACACTTAATGCTCACACTGGTCCAATGCGCCTTTCGGCCAATGTTGAAGCCCAGCTCAGCATCGCCAAGAAGAAGCAAGATGAAGTTGATCAGCAGCTGCAACAAGCAAATGCAGAGTTGCGCACCGCTGTCGACGAATCGAAGAAGTTGGAAGCTAGACGAGTCGCTATTAAGCGCGAAATACCAACACTGGCCAAACAGGCGCGAAAGCACGCAGAAGACGAGCAGCGCATCAGTGATCAGATGCGAGAAGATCAACCCAGCAGCGTTGCTGCGCTCGAGCAAGCAAAAGAGGTAAGTCTTGAATAAAAAGCTCTTCGAACTCGGGGCAAGTCCTTCTGACGAGGTTCCACGATTTCTGAATGCTCAAACAGGAAGCCAAAGAACAGCTGGAAAACATTAAGCAGGAATTCTCTTCGGTACAGGTCCGCAAAGAGGCGATCGAAGGACAATTGCAACCTCTTGAAGAAGAAATGGACGCTGCAAAGAGCAAGCTCGAAGAGTTCGAGGAGGAGCGCCGCTCAACCATGCCACGCATGACTGCAACTGTGCAGGGCCGCGTGGCGGCTCAGAAGAACATGCATCACTGGGAGAAGGAGATCCGCGCCCAGAAAGGAAACAATGAGCGATTGAGCGAAGCTAGCTTGCAGGTCCAAGAGCAAGTCGACGTGTTGACCGCACAGGCTTCTGAAGTCGCCCCAGACCGTCCTGAAATAGAGCTAACGGCGGATGAGTACATACGTCAAGCGGATGCGTTGGAGAAGAACCTGGAGCGGGCTCGAAGAGAGACCGGTCACAGCGTCGAGTCAGTCATTGCGGATGTGAATGCTGCGAAGCGCGCGCTCGAGAGCGCGCAAAGTGAGCTGGCCGACTTCAAGCTTGCCGTCAAGGTGAGGATCCAAGTTCCGTGAAAGGTGGGCTCGATTGTCTCTGATCCCCTCCATGTATACGAGCAGAATTTGAGTGCCGCGATCACGTTGCGCCAAGAGACGTGGACGTCGTTTCGGAGAAGCATCGCATCGAGAGCCAGAGGTCTCTTCACCCACCATCTGGCCATGCGGGGCTACACTGGCTCTCTCGACTTCGACCATAAGGGCGAGAAACTTCATCTCTTGGTTAGTGCTGCTACCTGACAGTCAGCGGCGGGCCGTACTGATCCACTTCCGTCCTGTGCCTTCAGGTACAAACTGAGGACTCGACGCAGAAGCGAGATAAGGACCCGAAGTCCCTTTCTGGAGGCGAGAAGTCCTTCTCCACGATTTGCCTCCTGCTCTCGCTTTGGGAAGCGATTGGCTGCCCTATCCGATGCCTGGACGAGTTTGATGTGTTCATGGATGCCGTCAACAGAAAAATTTCGATGAAGATGCTGGTCAGTGATCTGGTGTGCACGACTTTTGAAGTTCACACGCCTGAACTCGTCATGTCTTCTCTTCCATCTCATAGATCGATGCCGCAAAATCCACTCAGGGCGTTCAGTATATCCTCATTTCGCCACAAAGCATGGCGAGCGTCACCCTCGGAGAATCGACTCGAGTCATCAAGGTGTGTTATTGCAGCTCAGTCAAACCGCATCCGTACGTCAAAGCGCTTACTGGTCTCTTTATGGCCCTCGAATACAGCTGCAAGACCCAGAGCGTAACCAGACGACTCTCACATAGATGTTGGCTTCGATTCGGCTTCCAAAGAGGTTCTCTTGTCACCCACGCTTTCCATTGATTCTATCATCCGTTGTACATCGCATTGACACACAAGACCCCGAATACGATCGTGGTATATGACACCAAGATGGAAGCAAGACAAAGCCGCAACTTTGCGCGGCATTGTGGAACAGAAAATGGCTACTTACGATTAGCCAATCGCAGAGGCACGATGTTGCAGGCTCAAACATGAGTCACGAGCTTTCAACCAAAGCTGCGAAGTGCGATCTTCGCCTCTGTTCGTTGAGGTGCTGCCGGATGCGAACTCTTTGCGCCGGCTGTCGCAGATGCCGCAAGAGCGTTTCTAATGCTCGTCTCGAGCACGGTGCGATGGTCTGCGGCCAATGTGGCAGTGACTTCCTTGAAGGCCGGGCCAGCTTGCGTTGCGAAAGCCAGCAGCTGCGCGACAGCTACATCGTGCAATGCTTTGGGCTCATCCGGCGACAAAAGGAGAATAAATGTAGGCATGACAATGGAAAAGACACGTGCTCCTGCCATGCAAAAGCGCAACATTAGTTGTCGCGTGTGTGGAAGGGGCGGGTGAGCGTATCGAGTGCTTACTCACTGTAAGAGTGCGGTGTCGATAGCCCAAAGGCTGCCAACGCTTTGACGGCTTCGCCCATCAGGCGGACGGGCAAGTCTGCGGCTTTGACGTCGTCCAACTGCTTCAATTTGGCTCCCTCGCCTGCAACAAATTCGACGAGCTTTGGTAGCAGTAAACCGACCGCATATTGAAAAGAGGCACCTCCCTTGCTAGACGCAAGCATAATCGATCGAGCGCAGTTCAATGCCGTGAGACCAATGTTGGAGTCGGCTCCAGCATGAAGCTTCTGCGCAATCAGGAAGCAGAAATGGTCGATGACACTTGTGCTTGCCTTGACGCCGTTCGGTAACGACGTCAAGACCACTGTCAGTGCGAGCAAGCTGTTCCGGGTCTTGATGTCAATGATGACGCCTGCACGGGCCCTGGTGACGCAGAAAATGGAACGCGAAATTGTCAGCAATATCCTTCCAGAAGCATAAGTGGCGATCACATGCTCACCTGAGCTCGTCGATGTTGTTGAGGGCTGCGCACATGAAGCCGTGCACGCCTTTCTCAAGGACATCGCTTGCCGGCTGAGCGACCGATGCCCCCCTTTCGCAGATGGCTTTCAGGCAAGGCAAAGTAGGACCAATCAGATCCAGTTCTTGTCGCTCGTCGTGCAATAATTCTGGTCATGCGTCGCGAAGTGCAGTGTAAGCAGCGTGGTCGCGTCGCGGCGCCCAAACATCCCGACGCACCACTGTAGGCTGACAGCGCAAGTACGAGCAAGGACTCTTGCTGACCTTGCAAGAAATGGGTGGACGTAGCCAAAAAGGCCGTGTATGCGGTCCTGAGCAGAGCGATTTTATCCTCTGCGGCACCTGGCAATAGATACGAATGTGTCATCACACGGATGATGATCTGCAAGCACTGAGTCAACTTTGCCTCGCTTGGCAATGCTTCGCCTGCGACGCTGAGGAAAGTATGGGACCAAGTCAGCTGGGTCTCGCTGCCTGCATTGCGATCTTCCTGTAATTCGTTGCACGACTTACGGTTCGACATCGAGCAAGCGACCTTGGTAGCTGTCTATCATGCTGAGCAGCACTTCAATGACATTCAGCTGAATGGGCAAAGGCTCAGTCATGACAAGACGCATATATAGAGTGCGGAGTTCTTCAAAGACTGAGGCATCCAAGAGCGCCGGCCCTGCGAAGTGCGCTTTGCTGAGGGTGCGTATCGCGTAGAGTGCTACACGGCTCCGCTGTGCTTCTGCAGACACCTCCATGAAAGGCGCAGCGGCCGAAGAAGACGGCGCATTCGCGCTTGATGCAAGCGCTTCCACTGCCAAGCCAAACAAGGGATGAAAGTTCGTCGCTGGAGCATCTCGGTACGGCGACAGCTCTGGCTTAACGTCAGCGCTGGCGTCCAGGTCGATCTCGCCGTTGAGAGCCAGCAGCATTGGAATGTTGGCTTGGTCTGCAAGCACTGTCACAGCGTGCAGAATCTTGTGCCATGATTGATTGTAGTGTGGCAAGATCACTTCCTGCGTCAAGCCGGCATACTGCTGATCCAACCTCGCATTCAGTGGAGGGCCTGGCTGCGGCATGGCCAGTACCGCTGCTTCAGGGTCCGTGCGCATTTGCGCATAGTCGCGTAAGCTGGCGATCCAGTACGGTGCCAGGGTTGGTATGTGAGGCTGTATCACCTCGCGCAAGTAGGGTTGCTGAAGCGTGGATATCTGAAGCTCACTCCAAGCGGTCAATGTGGCGATCTTCAAGGTGGAGGCAGCGTTTGGTGAGAGGTGTGAGACCTCTCCCAGGCTCTCCATTTCAGGATCTGTGCATCTTTCGAGCGCTGTAGCCAACAACCTCAGAATGCGACCCATTCTCTCCACTTCTCTCACCACACCCGACCCTACGAAAGTTGCGCAGACCTGCACGGCAGCAGCCAAGACTTCGGGAGTGCTGTCCGAGCTGAATGCGGGCGTCAGAGCTGCTGCAATTGGTGCTTGGTGCTGTTCTAACAACAAGGACTCTTCGAAGTCGGGATCCCGCGCAGCTTTAAAGTACTGGATGACGTCGCTGAGGACTGTCAGCCCCTCAAGCCGAATAGCTGATGTCGCCGACGTGCTTGCGATGAAGGCCATCTTGATCAAATCTGCTACACGGCTACTCATGAGCACGCGCGGGGCAGGATGCGTGGCAGTGCTTTGCACTGCCCCTGTGGCAGGGGCTGCAAGCGGTGTACCGAAATGCTCCAAGCGCCCAGCACGACCCACCGCCAAGAACACCTCGTGCAAGCACTGCAGAGCGAAGAGCTGCGTTCTCCAGCGCGAGTGCGACAAAGCTGCACTGTTGGCCGATACCTCCTCTCCAAGATTAATACCGGCCGCTTCCTCGTCCTGCAGCATGCCTGGTTGCTGCTGTGTCTTCTTGGCAGGCGCTTGAACATCACCTGCGACTGCACGGCTCATGATTCTCTGGCACAGATTGATCCAAGAATTGGGGCTGAGCTCGGCGGTCTGACGCAGCCACCCAAGCAAAACTTGTCGGACACCATCGATCGTAGGGTCGTCATCAAGTTGTGCGAAGAGATCCTCCACTAGTGCATCTCCGCCAACGCGGCTGACCACGAGAGCTTGACGTTGAATGAGCTGATAAAAGCTGTTGATCGCCGCAAGCTTGCGGGGTCGCTGAGTGCTCTGTAGATGACCTTTGAGCTCTAGAATCCAGACCGACAAGTCCATGTGTTCCGACGCAAAGAGAGCAAAGTGCTGCATCGCTTTGGAAGCCTCAACCACGACTCCAGGGTTCGATTGCTCTAGCCCGAATTCATGCAGCAGCGTCAGGATCAGATCCCGCACCTTCTGCGAGTCGAGCAAGTCTGGACCCAGAACTCCTATGAGAGCCGAGATGATGCGACACGCAGCCTGATGAGCCGGCAGATCAGCGCGCAGGTTACTAGAGCCGGCACTACCTCCTTCGGGTTCGTGCGTGTCGAGCATGTACAATTTGACCAGCATTCCAAGTGTGCTAGAGACGTAGGAAGAGTAGCTCAAGCTTGCTGCCTCGACCACCATACGGAGCGCTTCCATGGCAGAGTAATGCACGGTCGGGTGCGGATCGGACGAGAGCGACATGAGAATATTCACGATCGTCTTGGTGAGTGGTCCCGCAGAGAGTCCCCCTACCTCGCTGTAGACACATCCAAAAGCTCGTGCGCAACCCGCGCGTGCGCCTGGATCCCGATTGTTGACCACCTGATCTACGAGAAATTGGACCTGCGCAGACATAGCGTGGGAGCCTGCTACTGCAGCGAGGCGGCCGTAAGCCTCAGCAGCTGAGGCGCGCAGCGACGCATCGCCAGAAAGTAAGGCGTCCTTTAGGATTTCTCGAAGAGCTTGCGTGAGACGATCATTGTTGAAGCCAGCAGCGCGTCTGCTTCCCCTTGAGCCTGAATTTGTCGCTACCCTCAAGGCTCCCAGTAGACAAGCAGAGGCATTGAGCTGGACTGCTTGCTTTCTTCCTGGGTTCTTTTCAAGTCGTGAGCTGCGACAGTAACCCAGCAAAGTCTCGATAGAGCTGATTTGGATTTCGCGAGGTTGGAATGGGTAGACTGCAGCGAACAAATCTATCGCTGCATCGATCATGGCGGTGACTGGCGGCGGAGGTTGCGGCGCCAATTTCGCCGTGTCTAATGCCGCGGATGGCGCACCTGGTCGAGCGTATAGGATCAGAGGATCGTGCTCCGGTGCTCCAAGGATTGGTCTACGTTGCAAGGCGTCCAATTGCACCTCGACGGCATCTCTGTTCAACAAATCCGTGCGTGCAGGGTGCTCCATGGCGGGATAGGACACCGATCCGGGCTCGGTGCCAACGAAGCATTCGTCATCGCGCTGCAGGCTGTTCAAGCCGAAAGCATACCCGTCGGCCAAGCACCAAACGTTGGTGAAATTGCCAGCGCTGGCGGCAATGACGGCCTG